AAGCTCTGAACGAAAGGAATGAAGACTTCGTGTCCCTCGAGCGAAGGAGGATCCACTGGACCACTCTCTGCACGCGACAGGGACGAATGGAGACGTTGCTGGCGCCCGCTCGAGCAAATCGACGATCAACGGGACGACAGGTGATACAGGTGATATACAGTGAATGCTCGTCACTTGCATATGTCAGCCCCCTGATTTTTTCAGTTTTCCGACTTATTTGGAAATTTCGTAAATCGGCATAGCAACCATCGGTTTCGGCGTGTCGGAAAACTAGGAACGGTGTTGTTTGATTTTGGTTAACGCGTGGATTTGATTTGCTCTGTTCTTTTGAAGAAAATGGGCCGCGTCAATTGCTTATGCCATCCTAAAGTTTCTTCAGAATTTCTCATGTCTCTAACGCTATTCAGCTACGGTGTGCATGTAATACAAATGAGGAAATCCTCGACTTATGCAATGCACACAAATGGTGGAAGCATTATAACTGATTAGTTCGGAATATTAGCCTTTATACTGGACGGTAGCAGCATGAAAACGCTTTATCAGAGAAAGAGCTGTGTGCTCACTTTGCGATCGCTCCTGCTGCTTATTGTAGAACTCATCGAGGAGTGTATCCAGGCAAAACTGGGGAAATTGAAGTGCTCAAAAGTCTCTGTTCAGAGAGAATATGAATCGCACTCACAATCCGCCTAGTACCCATCGCCGAACTTGTCGGATTCTCTCTGGAAAAATTTTCGTACCGAGCGAGCGAAAATGATGACATGGGCCAGTTGTAACTTGAACGGGACACCGAAGTGGTGGCATGGGCCATCATTGCATCGCCTTGATAAGAAAACTTCGATCGAGTTCAGTGATGGGTACCAGACGGATAGTAGGTACGAGTCATATTCTCTCTGAACAGAGACTTTGTGAGCGTGAACGCTTCGAGCTTCGCGGGAGCCGAGACCACAAATAAAGTTGACCACGGATTCGAAGCGGGAAAATGAGAATTTAAGAGCTCCTTGAGCACTTCAATTTCCCCAGTTTTGCCTGGATACACTCCTCGATGAGTTCTACAATAAGCAGCAGGAGCGATCGCAAAGTGAGCACACAGCTCTTTCTCTGATAAAGCGTTTTCATGCTGCTACCGTCCAGTATTAGGGCTAATATTCCGAACTAATTAGTTATAAATGCTCCACCATTTGTGTGCATTGCATAAGTGGAGGATTTCCTCATTTGTATTACATGCACACCGTAGCTGAATAGCGTTAGAGACATGAGAAATTCCTGAAGAAACTTTAGGATGGCATAAGCAATTGACGCGGCCCATTTTCTTCAAAAGAACAGAGCAATTCAAATCCACGCGTTAACCAAAATCAAACAACACCATTCTTAGTTTTCCGACACGCCGAAAACGATGGTTGCTATGCCGATTTACGAAATTTCCAAATAAGTCAGAAAACTGAAAAATCAGGGGGTGGCATATAGCAATTGACGCGCACTGTATTGTAATAATTACAAATATAGTAAATATAATTCGGCACTTTGCCCCTTCCTTGATTCCGTCTTTTTTTTGTTCTGTTAGCCCGGATCTCTTTAATGTATGTGCTCATGCTGTTCACAGTCATCATTCCTCTGATGTTTTCTTGTTAAGATCGTCTTTAACTCTGTATTCATGTTTATGTTTGAGCGCACTCAGAGCGCATATAAAATAAACAAATAATTACGGAGGAAAAAATAGCTAGTTAGGATTGGTCTTACTAATGTCTACATGACCAAGGCCAGTCCCTCTCAGAAGACACAACCTCTTTGCAATTGAGCCCGTGAGCCATCTAATGGCCGCTGCTCCAGTTGAGTACTTGAACGGCGCTGAATAATTGGATATTGGGCGAGTTCGAATGGCTTGACGAGTTTCCCCGCAACAACACACCGTCTCTCTTTCGTTCCTGGAGGCCGATCAGTCTTCTTGAATGTGGCTACTCTGCCTGAGCTTCTGTTTGGCCATCACTCAAGCAAAAATCTACAACCATCTTTTCGAGACGTTGTTGGGCAGGTAATTCCTGTTTTTTCTTAGCTTGGAATTCTGCTGTATCTAATGACTCAAATAGGTTAGTAACCCTACTTTGACGCATAAATTCCGCCTGAGGTGCAATCTTTGGCCCGCTTCGATAAAGTCAAAAGCCTTGCTCCGTTGCTTGTTCACGATATGTTATTCATAAAATTCACCACAATGCGAATGAATATGGATTAGCTCGTTCGTCTATTTCCAAAGCGTTGAAAAAATGATTGGGTATGCTGCTCCTTGCCTTCCGTACCATGAAATATTTCACAACTGGGCAGAATGCTCAGTGGCAGGCGCATACAAGCCGCCGCTGTTCGTGCTGTTCTACCTATCTGGGCGAACCGAACAAAAAAAGAATCATTTTTTCGATAATGGCGCCAACATCAGCAACTTTTCGTGTCCTGTATTGCCCACGTGAGGAAAATTTATGGGTAACTATGGCTGAGAGGGGGGGGGATGGAGAGGGGGGGAAGAAGCACTCTCATTATCTTATCTTGCTCTGGGCGCCTACACCCTTTGCGCCTCGAAAGGATGTCATAGTTCCCATTCACATCCTACCTCAGTATTGGAGAACACAACGGAGTGCACCCCCAGAGTGGAGTTCCACCGAGGGATATTATGAAGTTTTTCGGTAGATTGGAATGTGCTCTTCATCTTTCAATTGTGATCTCTCAATTTGGAACTTAGCAAAGTGCAAATAATTCGTCGCTTCTGTGTACTTGATGCTTCTGCGACGAGGTTTATAGGTGGAAACGTGATTGCGGTCAACGTTTCTACATTTGAAGGAATCCTTCGCGGAAAATTCTTGCATTCTTTCTTGACATGAATGTGTCAGTTGTGATCACTGGAAACAGCACACAAAGTTTCACGCATGAAGATTCGGTTTCCGAAGAGAAACAAACGTACAAAAACTACACTCTATGGACAATCGAAGGTAATTCGGGCGGAGCCAAAGGCGAGGCATGGAAAGAAGTTGGCCTTTGGCCGGCTACGTACCAGGCGACGCAATGAAAGAATCGGGTTAAAGCGCGCGATTTCGGAGAGTAGAGACAAATCGATCGATAGAATAGGATGGAGTAGAAGTGTAAGATGTGAATGCAATAAAGCAGAAGGCCAGAAAGAGTTTCTAGTGAAGGCACTCCAAGAACCAAGTGGAAGCATCCCCCGTGCCAGCATTTGTGAAGAGACGTCCGTGGGCACTTTGAACGCGTAGCAGCCCTTTCGATTTTTCGAATTTTTTACGAAAACAGAAGCAATAGTTTTTTGTCTCTCCATTCTTTGTTCTTTGTTGGAATAATGTGTCTCAGCATAAGTGGCTACAAATAGAATCATGATCCGAGAAGATCCTTCAATGTCATCTCGAAGGCATGAAGAGGTCACAGGCTCAGATTGCTCCTATCCATCAATCGCCTTCAGCTCTTCTGGCCGTTCTGTTTCTGAGGTCCTCTCAGAAACACGGCAGACCGAACCCACGAAATAACCAGAATTCGGAAGCAAAATAAATAAAACTAACATATGGGTTTAATCGTGGAGGTAAGTATTTTTTAATTTGTCCCACCCTATAGAGTAAAAAATTTCAAAGAAGAAGCCGTACGGTACTCGCCGTAAAAAATCGAAAAAACACGCGAAAAACGCGATTTCGCGTTTTTTCGTTTTTTCGTTATAACTCGGTTCAAAATTAAGATTTTCAAAATCTGAAAAAAGCTTGAACTCAGCTCGTCGAGTTCTATAAGAATCTGCCTAAAGTTTCTAGCGGCACTACTTGGATTGCGCCATGCACTCAACTTTCATCTCAAAAAGTAGTTGCTTGCATGTGACGACTCCGGCCAAAGGCCATCGGCCGTCACGTGAGCTCTCACGCACCGCGCACGTGAATAGCACGTGGGTGGCCAGGGCTGAGGAAGGCGATCGGCGATAAGGAAAAGGCCGAAAACGGTGAAAAAACAAAGTTTTGGTGGGAACTGAGATGTATATCGTTCGATAGCATTTTTTATGGGGAATCGAATGGTGCACATTCAGGTTCTAGTTCATCTGGAAAAGCAAAAAATCTGATCATTTCACAAGGGCATGACGAGGAGGTGATGTTTGGGGCCACACCACGGAAGGAACGCTCACCTGCGACCAAGTTTTCCATATAATTCCTACAGACAAGTGACCGTAGTCTACGACAGTGAAGGAAATTGTTCGCTATCTTCACAGCTTTCTGCAAAACATCTCCTCTGAAAATGGAAAATGTCACATAATAGGCCCACTATGCCTGCTGAGAACTGTTCAAAGATTTCCACTTGATATACAGAGGATGGGATATTGAGAGCAGAGGGAACACGTAAAGCCAGTAAGCGCTTAAAAACGAAATGAAGATCTAAGAATTCGGAAAATAACATTCATCTAATCTCACAATGTAGTGGATGAGATTGAGTACGTGGCGCATTCTGGGGTAAGTTTTGAGGCCCTTCTTTGTGTGTAGCGGTCAGCCCGCATAAGCGGGATTATATACACATCACATGCGAGCAACTACTTTTTGAGATGAAAATTGAGTGCATGGCGCAATCCAGTGTAGTGCCGCTAGAAAACTTTAGGACGGATTCTTATAGAACTCGACGAGCTGAGTTCAAGGCTTTTCATTTTGAAAATCTCAATTTTAAACCGAGTTATAACGAAAAAACGAAAAAACGCGAAATCGCGTTTTTTGCGTGATTTTTCGATTTTTTACGGCGAGTACCGTATGTTCTGTACGTCCTTTCAGGTACAACCGACTGGTGCGACCAGCAGTGGATGCGAACGATACAATTCGTATCGAGTTCAAATTGAAGTTAAGTCAAATTGTTGATGTTCACGCCAAACATCAGACGCTTACCGCTAATGGATGGCTGATTCATGTGAGTTTCACAGGCGCTGAATCGTTTTTTACTGTTACTACATGTTCACTCATCCGTTCTCCGAGCCTACATGGACTTTATCCAACATTTCAACAATTTTTTCAAATTGTAATCCAAAATTGCTTCTGTGTTCAGCACTGGTATGATCATCGATTATCATGGAAACCAGAAGACTACGGTGGAATCAAAAATTTTTACGTACCTGGTGAGATCATATGGCTACCGGATATTATCCTCTACAACAAGTCAGTAATCATTTACCTGACTTTTTCGCCATTTTTTGTCCATTAACCGTTTCGCTACTTTGAAGGCGATCGGCTGACATTGTTGTAAACATAGCCCAATGTTGAAATGACGGCTTTCCGCTCATTTGTGTTTTTCTTCTTTACTCTCTTTGCTTTTTCCCCATATTAGTGGGAATTTTCAGTGCACACGGTAGCCCGTGGGTTTCAGCTATCACCAAAGCACATGTTTATTACGACGGGAGAGTGGTGAGTTGTGCTTCTGTAAATAAAGTGTACACCTTAAGAACTATTTTGAGATATTTATCAATTGTCATTTAAAGGAGGATTTACAATGAAAAGGTAGCTTATCAAAATAAGGGTAAGGTGGGCAATAGGGCACGGGTGCAAGAAACCATGTGACATAGCACTGGGAATACGCGAATGTAAGGCCGACCTTTCTTGCTCGTGTCATGTTTCACATTGACGCCACTCAAATGCGTTTGTGCCTCCAACAACAACGCTCTCTCGTGCATACTTATACGACAAGATCTAGAGACATAATGCGTGCCAAGGTTTATCCGCCGAGGATTTTGAAAAGCGTGTTTGAAGCGTTATGGGAAGTCCTAGCATCTTGCTCGTGCATACTTTGTAGCCAAAAAAACGCGAGATCATCGGGAGCACCTTTAATGAACTGCTCAATCCTACCCATCAAAGGAATTGATCCATCTAAACTCGTCGTGGGTGTGTCTTTACCATTCGTGACAATGTCAGCCACCGGTGGCTGACAAAGCTCTCACTCGGGACAATGGTATTACTGTGGCTGCAGGGCTTGAAATGGAATTTGGAAAGTTTTCTTCCATGGAAAGAATCTTCATACCCTCGCTCATCTACGCCAGCCCTGGGCAGAGGAAATCTCCCTTCACTCGGATTTTATTGAAGAAAAATCTTCCTGACGCTGCTGCTATTGCGCAATCCTGCGCGGTGAATGGATTTGCTGTTGCGGGATCCTCCACTTCATACTGGGAACCAGCCCAGTCACTATCACGGTCTTTCTGTACGATGAAACATCCGAGTGGTATCCGTACGACATTCAACAATGTGAGCTGAAATTTGGCAGTTGGACGTATAGCGGCACGCAACTGGATTTGATGCATGTGAGTTATTTTTTACCGTGGAGTAAACCTTTACAAAAAAGGCCCACTGAAGTTGTCTCCTTGCAAGAATTGCTTGAACAGCTCAAATCTCTCCTAAAATTTCGAAATTTTTTTGGCTACACTTCGACGGCTAGCGCTCAAGCCCTCATGATTGGCTCTGCGCAGAAGAAGTGATTCAGAATACCCGGAACAATCAAAATCCTAGAGGCCATACTCGAAAACTACGAGCTTCTGAATTTTTGGATTGTTTTTCTTTGGTTTCTTACGTATGTACCGAGTTTTGAAACAAACAGCCCTCGAGCATCGGTTGAGCCTCAAGATTCAGAGGATCGATACTCTTTAGGTTCACCGAGGTATAAGTAATCTTTAGTTGATCATATCCCTATCAATCCCTGTGTCGAAATCGAATCTTTTTCGAGTTCGGTTGGCCTGGGTAGGATTTGACTACCGGCCATGCAGTGTCGCTCACTGTCTTTAGAAAGGGTACTTCACATATACATAATGCATAAATTAGCGACGTATTTCAGCTGCTCTCGGATGACGTAAAATATGTGGTTCGGAAGAACGAGAGCGAATGGGATGTGGAGCGGGGAGTGGACGTTTCCGCCTTCCAGGTATGTGCCGAAGTCAAATCTTTTCGACTTCCACTACTAGAGTGGAGAAAACCCAGAAAGAACCTCAAAAGTGACTTCCCGGCTACCTCCAATGTGCAATACACATCTATTTGAGTTTCTCTCCCCAACTTCTGAACTCCTCCTGCCACCTCTCTCTTGAAACCCTTGCACTTCCTTTCTGGCTTCGATCAAAATTGAACCAACCGCTGTCCGTTATCTATCCCAATTGCGGATCCAGCTTCTCTGGACAGGATTGTGCACCAGATATGATACTACGCCTTTCGTAATCTTTCGCGTTGCAGGAGTCGGTGGAATGGGATCTGCTCTCCGTTCTTGGTACTCGCCACGAGAAATGGTATCCTTGCTGTGCGATTATCCGTGAGTATTACATGTTGTGGAATTCCAGCTATACTTTTCGGCTCTGAACTTTCTTGATTGTATCAAATGGATACTTAAAGCAGCGACCCCAGATGAAGTCGTGTCAAAGAATCTATAATGGGTGGAATAGAATAGTCCACGAGTATTACAGATAGGCTGTCGTCGCAGCTCGACAGTGCGCTACAATAGCGCTAAGGCCCTACAATGTGATCTGATGGCGATCTAATGTAAACTGATGCCCTCGCTGCCACACCTTATGACACACTACGTGGATTACGGCGTTGCGGCTAACTCAAATACGCGCGAGTTAGTGGAGGCATGGAGCAGGCAAGTCCGGACAACTCGTCCGGCCCCGGGAAAGACGGCATACTTGTTAATGGCTTCATCAGCATTTTCTTTTGTTCATTTACGATTTTCATTCAGTTCGACATCCACAAGATTAGAGAAGTCAATGATTCACGAAAGAAGGACAAAAACTTAGAGAAACAGCCCAGATCCGAAATGGGACCCCACTTGACCGTTTACTTCCACTTCGGACGAGAGCACGACCAGCGCGAAGGACGAATGGACGAGTTGCGCTGATGGCGGCAATCAGACAAAAATAAGTGCATCCAAACCCGGGTTAATCCAGTAAGGGGGAATGTTGTTACTTAAGACGGTCAACGCCCTAAAACCACGGAAAGCATATTCTTTTATTGTGTTCGAGACCAAGCCTTAGAAGGAAGGGAGACCCCGAGTCTGGGAGCAATCTTCGTTTTCCCGCGGGGAACTTCCTCCCCCCTAGGCTTAGTCCTAGACGCTCATTAGGTGATTTTTACTTTTCATAGACCTTGATGTCATCCAGCACATCATCGGCGAAACTGCGCCGGAGTGCGCCGGTCGGTGGGCGCTCGGTTAGGGTCGTGGGGAAGGCCAAACTAGATCGCCAGAGGATTCTTCAATGCGAATTGCGTGTCCGTCCGCACCCTTAGGAGACCCGCCTGTCCACTAAGTGGAATTCTTCTTTATCGACCTTCGTTCTTATCGTGAAATCCTCCTTTAGGAGTTCGATAGAGGACAATAGGATTCAGGTAAGCAGGATGGATGCGAGAAAGAGGTGATGATCTTTCCAAACGCTGACCGTATCGAAAGAGTCTTACAAGACTTTCGCGACAGAATGGGGCTCAGTGCCCACAGTACAGCAGGGGGTCGTCGACGACGGTACAGGAGTGAGCGCATCATACAAGACCAGGTAAGCAACAATCGAGAATTCAGAATCCAAGTCTGCTGCCAATTTTGGGAGAGTAGCTCGTCAAGTGCTATTTTACGCCTACACAGCTAACCTATCTACGGATTGAGCTAACCGCTACAATTCGGTTCCCTACCCCGGCGTCCTTGTGGTGCACGACCATATGCGAGACAGGCGCAGAACTCCATTACAAGGAATTTCCTTGGGACCAGCACACGGCAGATTTATGCACCTTCCACACCTCTACAGTCGCTATACTATTGCAGAAGTCGTCTGTGATTCAACATACTGATGCCGTCATAGGCTAGCCTTTCCAAGTTATTGTCAGAGGGCAAGTTGTTAAAGGCACAACCCAGGCAGAGTTCGTGTGAACGCTTCTCTTCGGTCACTAGTATAGAACCCTAGAGGACAATCACAGATGTGGCGTCCTCGTGCACGGAAACCGACCGATAAGAGCGCTTGGGCCTTGCAAAGTAAGCTGCCCAAGCTGCAGACTTTTTTTTCTTATCAGGCTGTTGTCTGGCGCTCTCTCATCTGTAGTGCTCTCTCGCCTCATACTCTCCCCTCCGCGCATAGTCTCTCATTCCCTTAGCACAGCCGATCAGGAAGGTGAGTGAGCCCTTAACCTAAGCGTTTTTGACGGATTCTTTTCCTTTTTTCTTTACTGCCGGCCCACTTCCCACCAGTACAATCACATTCGTGCACATGGGCCACACCAATGTGATCCTGGGGTAGGCCTTTAAATGCAGGGCACATTTCTGAGTTGATGCAGCACGCGTGGCGCGTCTCTAGCAAAGTTGATCAACACCGAGTACTCAATCCTTCTATCACTTCTCGCAAAATGTTTATTTATGTTCCTGGATCTTCCAGATCAATCGATATAACATACTACTTACAAATTCGTCGCAAGAAACTCTTCTATACGGTGCATTTGATCGTGCCGTGCGCTTCATTGGCTGCCCTCACCTCTTGGGTGTTCTATCTGCCATGTGAAAGCCATCAGAAAGTCCAACTCTGCATTTCCGTCCTGGTCTCGCTTACCGTCTTCTTTTTGCTACTGGTAAGCTTGTAATGATTTTTTTAGAGTCAGAAAGCAATCTAGTTTTCACTATAAGAACACAGAAATTGCAGAATTCTTTCATTAAATGTTCAGGTTGAAATCATACCGCCGACAAGCATCGTCTTGCCGCTCATCGTCAAATATCTTACTTTCACAATGTTTATGGTCTCATTATCGGTTGCTCTAACCGTGTTTGTAAGTTCGCTGTTTAATGTGTTTTTGCTTTTATTCATAAAATGGGAATGGTTCAGTGTGCAGAGGCGCTGTTTTCGCTGCCACGGTCAAAGGATCGGGAGTGGCTCAGACAAATACACTACCTTATCTTTGATGGTTTCGTAAAATGTATCCCTGTTATCTAGGAAGGGGAATATCCCCTTAAAAGCTGATGAATACTAAGTTACTTAACGCAACATCTACAATATACAGGGGTGGCCAAAAAAAAAGAGACACTTCACTCAACATTCAAAACGGAATTATTTACGCGTCGCGAAACCAAACCAAATGACCCCAACTGAATATTGAAGAGCACGTTATAATCTATCAACAAGCTACACAACAGCCTTCTACACCGACGACATCAGAAGAAGCGATCTGTTGGCAAGGTATGAGCTTCAACGAGGTCGTCGAGATACCATAGACGATTACGACGTCTCTGAAAGCGCTGGTCAAAAGCGGCTTTGCATAGTCACAGCTAATGTCTCTGGGAAGCTATTCAACAGTTAATCCATTGAAGAAATTATGTAGCAGCTTCAGGTCGGAGCGATTACGGTAAGCCTCGTTGAGCTCGACGGTGACGGCAGATGACGTCATATTCTGAAGACGGCGGGGGCAGTGAAGGAGTGCTGCTTCTGTTTACGGAGGAACACTAAGGAATATAACGCCGTAAAACTTTCATGAACATCGGCTCCCTGTGCGACGAAAAGTTCGATGATGTGCGCCATGGGCTAAGTGTCTTTTTTGGCCACCCCTATACAGTATTCTGCTCAATGAGAAAATCAAGTAATAACAACGAGTCGTTTCATAAGTTCATTGAAATGGAGAATATTCAAGCCAGAATTAAATATAAACAGTCTGATTATCCCAGAATCTGTTTGGCTATGTTTTATTCCGCTGAAGTTGGAGCAGGGTCAAGCGAGGCGTTGAGGAAAATTTGGAAATACGACCCCCCCCCCCACCACCCTCCGCCGGAGGCCGAAGTCCATGAAACAACCCTCTTCAAAAGCCGAACTATGAAAAGGTTGAAAAGCTTGTTTAATTCTCCCCCAAAACTGCTCATAAAAAAGCCCTGCTACCCCACCGCCCACAAAAAAATTCGTTTAAGAAGTACAAAAGTGAAAAAGTCAAAGAATAATCATTATTGATGAGTCCTACCAAACGAGCAAACGAGAAACAGACCAGAAAACGACAAACTAGCCACTAAAAATGGCATACATGACAACATCTGTTCTTTATTTATTTCCTCCACAAGACTTACCAAATTCTAGTACTACACAGATTGTGGTTCTCAATTTGCACGTAGCCCTTCAGTTGAAAGAAGCTTTTTAACCGCCTTCGCCAGCTGTGTGTTGACTGGACTTTGGCGTTGACCGTGGAGCAGCTTATTTACTATTGAAATTTGAACAAATATTCAAATGATTATAACTTTCTTCAAATATGACGAATTTTCAATCTGAAAGCAGATTTGGGAGTTTTGTGAAGAGCTTTTTCTAATCAGTACTGAAATTACAGGAAGTTATAAGAAATAACAAATTTAGATCAAATAACGAGGAAAATTCGAGACGAGCACGAGTTTTTACACTTTCCGAAGCAATAACTTGCTTCATTTTCGTCAAATTCAAAAAGTTGATACGTCATACAAAACTAGAAGATTTTCTCTATCAAACGGTTGCTAAAGCAGCTTTATACGTCCAGTATTCAAAAAATGGCCACGTTGAGGATTTTTGCAAAATTAACGAGGAAAATTTGTGATGAGTGCGAGTTTTTTTATTTCCTAAAGCCATAACTCCGTTCAAACTCATCCAATCCGAAAAGTAAATACGCCATCATAAACTAGAAGATTTGCTCTATCAAATGCTTACTAGAACTGCTCCAAACGTCCAGTATTAAAAAAACGGCTACGTTGAGGATTTTCGCACGAGTACCGCCGAAAGGTACTTTTTCGCTACATTGGCACTATTTCAACGGCTGTATATCCTTTTAAGGGCGTATGTACTAAAGTAAGAGCAGATTTGGAATCATTGCTTTTCTCTTTCTAAGAAAAGTGATTGATTAGCGTTTCTCAACTTTAAAGGTTACATGTTTATAAATTTAACCCTGAAGAGTCCGTTAACGCAATGTTGAATGGTGTACACCTCCCTGTAAATGCGCACGGACACTTTCAGAATTCTCTCGATTGTTCCTGAATTGAGGTTGTTTGTCCAAGGAGCCGTAGTAGTTGAAGCGCGCGCAACAACTAGACCCTTTCTCGGATGCGCCGTGTACCTCACATCCCTTCAGATTCGGGGTCTTACTTGAAAGATGAAATATCTCTTGGAAAGCGTGCGAAATTCAGATTCTTTAACTTGTGTGGTGATAAAACACTGAAGTAACTAAGAATTACCGGACGCCTCAGAATCACGAAAATTTTGTGTGGGTGAAATATCATTTTCATTGGAAATCCTCTGGCCTGGCATCGACTCATCCTTGATATTTGTCTTCCGACGGTGATGATCCCACTGCATCAAAATGGCTCGATCTCTTCCACCCAGCGGGCCAATACGACCCCCCCCTGCGACGTGTCGAGGATTCCTCAACGCACGCTTGACCCTGTTGAGATAAGGCCAAAAAATGGACGTCAATACGAAAGAAAACAGGAAAAGAACTACAGAAAAATTCTAGGATGTATAGACCTTCTCTGAAGCTGTGGAAGGGCCTCTTATGAGAGGTAGGTAAGAAGATATTGACGGGCGGAGAGGAAAAGATTCGCGAGGAAGAGCATGGACGAGCTTGCGCCGAGTTGTGCTACGCCGCTGTTGATGTTATGAGCAGACTTAGGGAACCGTTTAAGACGGGTGTCCCCCAAGAGGCCCGTCGCGCGGCGAAGGAAGAGACGCAGATGCGGCAAAGGACGAGTCGCAGCGCGTGCTGTGCGATATGAGACGTAGTATGGCACTCTATTTAACCTGACGCCTAACCGCTACAGTATGCGCTGCGACTCGTCCTTTGCCGCGTCTGCGTCTCTTCCTTCGCCGCGCGATGGGCCTCTTGGGGACACTCGTGTGAAACCCGATCTGAAACCCAATGCCTTACCGGCTTTGAATGGCAACTGCATGCCGCAGGTTGGCAAGGCCGCATGCTTGACTGGCGAGCGCTTGGACGCTCATTCACTGCCCTAATCTCGGGTTGCCTACCTTACAATAACATTCAAAAAGCTACAGTATAGAATCAAACAGGCAGAAATACTGGAGCATTCGTGGTAATGATTTTCAGTAATTATGCAGTTTAGGTGCAAAACATTCACTTTCGTACCGCCAATTTTCCCAATTTCGGATCGAATTCGGCGAATTTTTATCGATACGCTCGGGCGGAAGCTACTTCTTGTCAGAGCCACCGAAGAGGCAAATTTTCATCGGAAAGCGCAACATAGCAAGGTAATTTAGCAGAACTGCGTGATTTTTAGTTTAGGGATAAGCATTTTAACGTTCACTTTACACTTTTTTCCAATGCCAATATTTGGGTGAGAGTAGCATTACTGACCACGTCAATTTTATTCGGAAACTTCTCTGGGCGCCGCTATTCGCGCCTCCCTTCACTGGTCCTGATTGAGCTTTCAACAGAGGCACGGGTCTGGCGCGGCGGAGGAAGTGCGAAGAGACGAGAGGCGTTCAGTGGGACGAATTGCAGCGCGTGCTTTGTCGATTGTACATGATACAGTACCATACATTCAATTCAACTTGGCGCAAAATTATACAGTGCAGCGAACGTGCGCGATCCGTCTGCGTCTCTGCCACCTCGCCATGCGACGGGCCTCCTGTCGGTAACCCATCTTGCTTGGTTCCTGCGAGAATTCACTAGAATATTGACACACGCTAACAGCTTTTATTAGAATCTTTGGCAGCACATATTAGATTTGTATAGATTAATCCATGCGACCAACTTGGTGATTTCTCGGGAAACTCTGAAAAGACACTGCTTCTCTGTTTGGCTGCTATTATTCGCCGCGCTATTTATGGATAAGCAGAAGCAGGTCTTTACAGTAATATCTAATGGGGCCGTTAACACGCCTAACCGAGAAGGACACACCCCTTCTTCGAGGCATTGCTCTAAACAGGTGTTGAAGGGTCAATGGTCCTTGTGAAGGTCCGACATCGACCAGTAGGTGCTGCAGCTTCTCAGTGCGTCTCCATCCTTCTGATATTTTGAGCAGCTCGAGTGGTTAGGAAACAGAGCGTTCCAATAGCTGAGGGTTGCAACAGCATTCTCCAGTCAATGATGGACAATAGTATGATTTCTTAACCCCCCCCCCCCCCTCCCCCCTAAGCGAGTTGGTCAAGTCCCACACTTCAGTAAATATTAACACATTAAAATTCCAAATTTCAGCAAATCAGCGCCTTATCGGCCATGTCGATTCTGCAGAAGCAATTCCATAAGACCGTGTTCGAAATTGAAATGGCTACGAAAGCCAAGAAACCGATGTCAACAGTGAATTCATTGTTTCTCGAGCTTCCAATGATGAATCGTTCAATGAGCGTAAAGCCTGCTGCTGGTGCTTCACCCTCGAAGTTGAACAAGTATGATTCTTACTCTATTGATTGATCACTTGCCAAGGGTTAGTTCACTGGACAGAAGTGTCATTTAACGCATTCTCTTTGACGGAGGCTTTCTTACTGTGGTGTCATTAATTTGATGCCTTTTTGGAATGTATGAACATTGAAGGCAGCAATCACGACAGCTTTTAGAGGAATTTACAGAGGACGTCGGGATGCTCAATAGTACACCAATGGCGAAAAAAAGAGAAATCCGGCAAGAAAACGCGAAAAGGGGACCCCCTTGTTTGGCCGTTGATTTTCGCTCGAGGACGGGCAGCGGCTAAGACGGCGGACGTATGGACGAGTTTACCGCAACGCGTTTGGTGGCACCATGCCAATCCATGCTCCAGTCGAGTTGCTCCAGTTGTGCCGCTGCTGGCAACACAGCTCGTCCAAATCACCAACTAAACTAGTGGGCGGATCGCTTTTGGGGCGGAGTGCTTTCGAAGTCCTGCTCAGCAACCAGCGCACCTTTCGTCGTGAAAGCGCCACACCTCGCTTCCGTAACTGCTTCGTGTGGCACATATGCTTCCCGATGCGTTCCCTCTTTATCGTAATCGCTTCCATTGAAAGCAGCGATTACGATCAAGAGGTAGCGTCGCATCGGAGAAGCATATGCACCACACGAATCAGTTACTTGGCTGCCAAGGAAGCGAGGTGTGGCGCTTTCACGACGAAAGGTGCGCTGGTTGCTGAGCAGGACTTCGAAAGCACTCCGCCCCCAAAAGCGATCCGCCCACTAGTTTAGTTGGTGATTTGGACGAGCTGCGTTGCCAGCAGCGGCACAACTGGAGCAACTCGACTGGTTTGCGGTCGCGGCCACACGTAATAACTGACTGGAACTGGAGTTTTAGAGTGGCATCAAGCGCCTTTACGGGTCCGTCCTAACATTGCGGTAGACTGGTCCATTAGGCGCCGGCTTAGCCACTCTCGTCTGAGTGAGATCAGCGTCAGGCAAGGGGTTTCGCCATTGGTGTACTATTGAGCATCCCGACGTCCCTTCTAAACCCTCTACTGCTGCCTTCAATGTTCATACGCTCCAAAAAAGCATTAAATTAGCGACATCACGATAAGAACGCCTCCGCCGAAGAGAATGCGTCAAATGAGCACTTCTGGTCCTTGTGAACTAGCCCTTGGCAAGTGATCAATCAATAGAGTAAGAATCATACTTGTTCAACTTCGAGGGTGAAGCACCAGCAGCAGGCTTTACGCTCATTGAACGATTCATCATTGGAAGCTCGAGAAACAATGAATTCACTGTTGACATCGGTTTCTTGGCTTTCGTAGCCATTTCAATTTCGAACACGGTCTTATGGAATTGCTTCTGCAGAATCGACATGGCCGATAAGGCGCTGATTTGCTGAAATTTGGAAATTTTAATGGTGTTAATGTTTAACCCTTAGACTACGACTTTTTTAGAAACAAGTTATTGATGTGTTTTGTGTAGTAACAGTCGCTCCTAGCAACAACTAATCATCTGTAGAAATTTGGCTGACGTACGCTGGGTTTGAGCTGGGATTTGATCCAGGGACCATACGCGCGGTAGTGGCCCCTCCTGTCACCACACCATCTCCGCTCGAATGAGCATTTTGAAATATAAACTGCAGTTAAATTACCATTCAACAAATACACATTCTTCACGCCAATGTCCGGTTGGGAACGCACTTGAAAAGAATTGCAAGCCGCACTTTGTAGAAGTGCTGCTCCCCTGCCTACAGGCTGCCCACCGGCTGCTTCTCCTCTAACGAATTTTCGCTGGTTTTTATGCTCGAAAGCTGCGTCATCATAGGAGTGTTCTACTACCACTTCCGCACCATCCGAACTGACAGAACTCCTGGAGGTTGGAATCTCCAACACAGTCGTAGTACGCTGCGTCGTCCTCTGACTGGCTTGCGGCCGATAAAATGCCCCATCCGTCATCGGTTTGCTTATGTTGCACGTGATACAATAATTGAGGGAAACAGAACCATTACAAGTATAAAGAGTGTGAGACTCAAAAATTACCTTTTTGGGAGGTGTGCACACTGTACAGTGACCTGCGATAAGACTTGCTTATTAACTTATCCAGGTAACTCGCTCTGACTTGTGATACTTTGCTGACAGAGTAAGAATTACCAAAGTTTCTAGTTGTGCACAATTCCGCCATAAAGCGGCCCTCCGATCTCAATAAGTGCCAAAACTGTGGTAGTGACTTTGACTACGGAAGTGGTAGTACGCATGTGTACCACCTGCTATTGGTACGCTCTATTCCCCTAAGGACTTGAGCTACTCAAAATATCGGAAGGTTAGATATAGACTGAGAAGCTGCAGCACCCGTGGTCGAAAGTGCACCTTCAGAACGCTTAACCCTCTACCAACCAGCTGTAAAAGAAAAGCATCGAAGAAGGGGACACATTTTCTCGGAGAGGAATGGAATACAGCCCCATGAGATATCACTAGAAGGGTTTGTTTCTATTGATCCATAGATAGCACGGCGAACTGGAGCAGCAAAACAGAATCGCTGCTCTATTAGAATTTGGACAGCAGTCACAAAATGGTTATAGTCATGGATTTGATTTGAAAAATTTGAAATGCTGCTAAGAATCTTCTACAAAAGCTGTCAGTGTTCCAATGTTCTAGTGAATTAGGATGCAGAATTAGATGTAAGGTTAGATTGGTTACCGACAGGAGGCCCGTCGTGCGGCGAGGAGGCAGAGACGCAGACGGGTCAGCGGACGAGTCGCTGCACTGTATAATTTTGCGTCAAGTTGAATAGAATGTATGTACTGTATGTACCACATCACATAGCACGCGCTGCAACTCGTCCGCTGACCCATCTGCGTCTCTGCCTTCTCGCCGCGCGACGTGCCTCTTGTTGAGAGCTCAGGCCAGATCAGTGAAGGGAGGGGCGAATGGCGGCGCCTAGAAAGGTTTCCGGATAAAGTTAGAAAAAATGGACACTGTGAAGCTCATCCCTGCACTAATAAATCATGCAATTCTGCTGGCGTACCTTGCTATGTTGCGCTTTCCGATGAAAATTTGCCTCTTCGGTGGCTCTGGATAGAAGTAGCTTCCGCCCGAGCGTATCGATA